AAGCCAGGACCAAACAGTCCCGGGTTGTGCTGGTCCCAGACGCTGTGGCTCTGCATTTTACATGTAGTAAGAGCCCGAGAACTCTTACTACATTTAAAATGCAGAGCCACAGCGTGGGTGACTCCTGAACCCGGCACAAGCTGTGATTGCTCAGTGCTGGCTCAAACTGGCTCCTGGAGCTACCCCCACTGTGGCTATGCAGAGAGGTCTTATCAAATAATCATATAGTCGATACAAATTGTATTGACTATACGATTAGCTAGGTAACTGCAATTTAACATCCTTAGTTATAATAGTTACAGGATACACATGTATGAGCGTAGAAGCTTAGGATATATGAATCTTTGACCTCTGATCATTTGTAGCTTGGAAAGTAGCGGTGTCAATGTGTACTCAGCTACATGATTAACTGATAAGCCTAGGCTTATTGGTTAATTCTGTCGACTATTTGCACCCCCCACCCCACTGCCTCTGTATCAGAGGCAGCAAGTGATGGGGAAGGAGGCAGGAGTGGGTGACCATGAGGAGTTGGCTCACGCCTGCCCCTCTTGATGCTGCTGGGAGGTGGGGGAAGGAAACAGGCAGAAGCCAGTACTCTTAGGGAGCTGACTTTTAAGTTAAGCCACTTTTTAAACCTGCTTCCCCCACGTACCGACTCCCACTTGCTACCCCGCAGTGCTGCCTCTGATACAGAGGCAGCTCCCTTGGAGTGGGACCAGCAGCCTGCTGGCTGCCAGCCCCAGTCCTGGAGGCTAAAAATAGTTGTATAACACTAAAATGTGATGCGGTTACTCAGTTATTTAATTACATGGTAGCTAACATCCCTATTGTAAAGAAAGCAAGCAATTCTCCCTAGAAGATACTAATGTTGCTCCATACATTAACAGAAGCACTAATAAAAGTTATATCACTGTGCCACACCATGGCCAATACCTTCCTCAGTGCAAGAAAATAAACAATGTCCAAGACAACAATTACTCTTTGCCTACTACATAGATCATTCAGTCTTTTGGAGACCTCTGGAAATCTGAGAGGTGTCAAGAAGAGAAAGGATCTAGCATATGAATGTTTTTCTACATAGACATGAGCCTCCAAAAATACGAAAAAAAAAGAGAGCTAGCTGAATTACTGCTACAAAGCAAAGTAATAAGTAACTTATATTGAAGACCACAGAAACCGCTAATGTTTCTGTCTTTTCTGAGCTCTCTAGCTTCTGCTTATTATTGCAAATTTTGTAGGTTAGTTCCAGACAATTATAGTTTGGCGGACCCTTTATGCCTCAAGATTCAGAAACTTATATAGCACTCTTTTCCTTGCTCCCTGCCCTGCTCCCGAATCCCATGGTGCTTCATTGAAGATCATCCCTATTCTACCTATAGGGAAGCTGAAGTACAGAGCTAAGTGACATGCCCTTACAGACACACACAAAGCATTTCATCACAGGGATATTTTATTTCAAGAAAAATAATTTTGATGGCCACTGACCATTCTGTCTTTTTGATTTACTGCTGCGTTGTGCTCTAGCATAAAGTACAACCTGCTGCACAATTTCCAGCTGCTCCTGAATCCCAGGAAAATGGAAATCTGTGCATTCTTGGCAAACAGTTGCAAAATCTGAAAGAAAGTAAATTTAAAACACATTGCAGCTTCTGTCTATGATTATTATACAATTTTGTGCAATTACTCCATTAAACTAGTGAGAATAGCAAACGTATCTACACTGTTCCACTTTAAATTAAATTTGAGAGAACATTTTTGAACTTAATGAATTATTTAAAAAGTAAAAGTCTTCAAAAGGCTGCTATTGCATACCAAGTAATCCTAAAAGACCATGCCTGAACCAAACAAATACTGTGTGCATAAATTAGTGTTTTCTCTTATATTGTAAGATAAATTTGAATGCTATAACCTCTTTGTTGGTACCTATTATAAATGTTTTAATGAAATGTGTCAATGTTAGTTACCAATAACCAGTATAAACTACTAGTGTAAAATATGTGCGGGCTCTGCAGCTGGCTCCCTGGGAGCAGGGCTGGCAGCCCCGGCTGGCTCTACTCCAGGGGAGCCAGCGAATAACCTGCTCCGTGGGGCTTAAGCAGTCTCTTAAGGACTGCTCTAGCCGTTACCCATTTATCGTAACTGGTAAGCATTACCCTTTTAGGATGATGCTTCCTGGTTAACCAGTTAACCTTTCACATCCCTATTATGTACCCCCAAGTTTCACCCCACTTCAAAGCTTACAAAAACATAAAAATACAAAAAAATGTCTCAGCACACTATTACTGAAAAATTGCTGACACTCATTGTTATCATCTATTATATTTTTGGGAGTGTGTCTGTTTGTGTGTCTGTTCAAGAACTCCTAAACGGTAGGAGCTTGGTGGGACCCTGCTTGCCTCTCATAAGCCTGCATAACTGAACCCCTCATATCCAGCCTCACACAATAGCAACAATTCAAACGAAGCCCATACATTTTAATTTTATTTTCCGAAAAACTAAAATTGAGTTAAGGACCCGAGCCATGCCAGATAAATCTTCTAGTACAATTATAAAATAAAACAACTTAGAATATAAATATTGTGCTTACAGTACAGTGTATAGCATACAGAACAGTAAACAAATCATTGTCTATATAATTTTAGTTTGGACTGACTTCATTGGTGCTTTTTATGTAGCATGTTGTAAAACCAGACAAAGATCTTAATGAATTGTTAACCCCTGTTGAGAACTGCAGCTGTTAAACATACAGTAAGAGAGGAACAGTAAGGTTTTCTTGGTGGAATCAAAGATCTCTGATTTTCAAAACCACTCAGAAATCTTTAACTTTTCTCGCACAAATAGTCCCACTGAATTAAGTGCAACAATTCACCTGAGCAAAGATAAGGATTTGGAAGTGTTTGCAGGGCACAATACAACTATTTATGTGAAGCATTTGTATAAAATACCTGTTCCACTAGTACTAAATAAGTAAGGCTATCAAATCAAGTTATAAGACTTTCTTTCCTGTCCAGCACTGGGCATACTTTCAGCCCTGAACAAATCACATGGCCCTTATCCCATAATGTTTAATTCATGGGCTAAGTGCTGTGTACTTATGGAGCACCATTATCGTCAGCATCTCTCTACAGTCCACTGGTAGGTTTATGTTGCAGGATCAGGGCCCAAGTATTTTCCTTCAATCTGTCTCTAAATAAAAAAGTCACTAGGTTGAGGTTTGTGTATGTTATTTAAAAGCAAACTGAAGGGAAAATATCTTTAAAATATCTATTACCCAAATAAGGAAGCTAATGATTGCAAAGTCTGATAGTAATCATTTTTATCTGTTTTATTTACTTTGTTGACCTCCATAGCATGCAAACAGGTAAACTTTTAAGAGCGCGTTTGGGAAAGATAATGTTTTTTAAGTAGTTTATAAAAAGAAGACATTTTCCCTCAATTTCCCCCCTTACCTGTAAGGCAGTGGTTCTCAAAGTGTGGTCCATGACAGTCTTGCAGGTGGGCCGTGGACTTGGGGCTCATCCCCCCCCTGCAGCAGGGAGCCTGTGCTGGCGCTCCAGCCCTGAGACCCTCCTCCCCATGAGGTTGGTACACTACGCTGACTTCCTGCTGCAGGGGAAAGGGGGGTGAAGGGGTGAGTCTAGCAGGCCAGATCTGCCTTGCAGGTCATCATGGGTGGTTGGCTAGTTGTCTGCAGAAAGGTCTGCATTCAGTGGGGTGGGCCACACTCTAAAAAGTTTCAGCACCACTACTCTAAGGACTAATTATGGTAGAAATTGCTGCTTTTTAAAAATCTATTACAACTCCATTGTCAAGGATCTCTTAGAGATAAGAGGCAACTTTTTGTCAGTTTTGATAATTGAAATATGTAAAAAATAGTTACCGAGTATGAAATATACTTTTAGGATCTCAAGCAGCCTAGAAATAAACAATAATGGCAATTATATTATGCTGTAATTTCTGCTGCGACTCTTTTTTTATTCATTCTTTTGGAATACTTTACTTCTCACTGGAAGTATTTTTTAAGGAAAGGATATGACAGGATGTCAGGGAAAGGAGACCCAACCAGTAACAAGCGGTTCCAGCCAAAACATCTGAAACGTAAACATTTTTGGACTGAATTTCATGAGGAAACTGGGAGAGATCTGTAATGTGGTTGACACAGCGGCAATGTGGCCAAGATTGGAATAGGGGCAAATAAAATTTCAGTAGCCTTGCCCGCTGTGGCTAACCATTTATACAAGACTATCTATTTAAAAGGGGTGCTCTCAACTGCTACCAGTTCTGTTTTCTGGAGTAGAAAGTACATATAACTTTAATGTACTCTGTGTGCTCAACACTTCTGAAAGTTGGGTCAATTTATTTTAAGATACCTAAATATGGATTTTAAAACCTAGCTTTAGGCATCCAGCTGAAAACTTTGATCTTTGTAAAGATGTAGGCTACGCAGCACACTATGAAAGTATTACTATTACTAAAAAAGTTCCAGAGTAATGGGCAAGTGAGAGAAGGATCCAGATACTCAAGACTATTTTAGTAGTATGTTGGCAAGCAGTGGTCAGTTGAAGCAAATTTAGCTACAAGATTTGAGATCTGTTGGACACAGAGGAAAAATGGAGGACTTGTGTTATAATCAAATTTTATAGTAATTGCTTCTTTCAGAAAAAGAACAAGGGGCAAGAGTAAAGTCTGCAAGGGTAACTTTGGTCTTCCACGATACACCAAATGAAATGACTTACCTCTTTTGATGCCACTGTATGAACTGATTCGGTTGTCTACCAATAAAACTAAGCCACAAAGAGAAGTTGAATAGAGCGACAATGCAGTTTGAAGTCTGTGAAGTTTTACTCCACTTCGGTGATTGCGTTTGTGCTTACAGAAATCCAGTATGTCAGCTCTCAATAATCTCAAGTTATGCATGGTTTTTAACTGGGCACCTGTGTAAAAAGCAAACCCCAAAAGCACTAAATAACAAACATCTTCAGATATGTTAATAATAGATTTACTTGGTGTTGCTTGGCTCCTTCAGATCAGGAACTTGGGGATTGGAAGGTGTGTGGGGGGGGGGGAAAGGGGGCGGGCCTCAGGGCAGAGAGAGGGGGCATCCAATGGCTGTTCCCCAAGGCCAAGCCAGCGGGGGCCACATAGCCCGCCTGCTGGCTGCTCCTTGGGGTGGCGGGAGCCATGCTAGCCAGCCAGCAGTTCCTCCCCAGGGCTGGGCTGGGGTGACAGGAGCTGTACAGGTCAGCTGGTGGCTGCTCCCCATGCTGGGGCACTTGCTGCCCCCTAGTTGTTATTCGGGAATATAAATGTCCCCCATGCTTGCTATCCTGTGTGGTCATTCAGGAGTATAACTGTCCCTGATATGACAGCCCTCCCTTTCTGTTTGATGAGAAACAGTCGTATTCCACACGCATCCTATTGGTCCTGGCACAATCAAACTTTTAACTTGCTTTAAGTTATAAGAAACAGCTGCATACCAAATTTGGTGGTCCTAGCTTTTACCATATAGGAGCAGTTCTTGAGCAAGACAGACGGACACACAAACTCTCTTAAATATTTATAAAAGGTATAAAAATGTTATACTACTGATAGCAATCCAGAAGAGTAAAAGATATGAGAAGACAACATTTGTATAAAAGAAGGTAAATCTAGGCCATTAAACAAGTCCTATCCTCCATCACAAGGCAGAGAATAAATATGCTAGTTATCTTTCTACATATTTGACACATGCTAACACAGCAGGGCACAGATTATCCAACAATCTTTTTTTTTTTTTCCATTTCAGAAGGTGCAGAAAGTTATTTGGGGAAGCTAGTCTAGATTTGATTTTGACAAAGGAGGAGGAACTGGTTGAGAATCTGAAAGTGGAAGGCAGCTTGAGTGAAAGTGATTATAAAATTACTAGGAATGGTGGGAGAGAGAACAGCACAATAAAGATAATGGATTTCAAGGCAGACTTTAGCAAACTCAGGGAATTGATAGCTAAGATCCCAAAGAGAAGCAAACGTAAGAGGAAACAGTTCAAGAGAGTTGGCAGTTTTGCAAAGAGACATTATTATGGACCCAAGAGCAACCTATCCCACTGGGAAGGAAAGATAAGAAGTACAGGCAGTCCCCGACTTACGCGGATCCGACTTATGTCGGATCCGCAGTTACGAACGGGGCTTGCCCCGGAGGACACGGACTGCGGGCCCTCGCGGTCCTGCCGCCCGTGTACTCCGGGGCTTTCTCCGCGTCTCCCTGGTCTGCAGACCAGGAAGACGTGGAGCAAAGCCACGGAGGGGCTCTGGCAGCGAGGCAGCCCAGGCACTCCTGGGCTG